TCTATACTAGGTCTTCACTTGGCAAGTACGGGGGGGGGGGGGGGGGGGTCCCTCTCTTCCAGAGCAAAGGGGAGCTGATCCTTCTGGTTGAATCTTTTTTGGTATAAATGTATAAATACATAAGTGGTCCATATAGTGACCTCGGTGTAGAGTTATTCACCTTAAGTTCATCACAGAGGACAAGGGAGGCACTCTTTACGCCTGGGAGGAAAAGAGATTTAATCTCCAATACAGAAAGGTTTCTTCGTAGTAAGAGCTGTGAAAATGTGGAATAGACTCCCCCAAGAGTTGGTTCTGGCCAGTTCAATAGATTGCTTTAAAAAAGGCCTGGATTCTTTCCTAGATACACATAATATATCTGGATACTAACATTTATAGGTAAAGTTGATCCAGGGAATATCCAAGCAAATTGGATTATGCTTTGCTGGGGTTTTTTTTTGCCTTCCTCTGGATCAACTGAGGGTATAGGATATATTTTTCTTTTCTTTTATGGTTGAACGAGATGGACTCGTGTCTTTTTTCAGTCAGACAAACTATAAACTATATATAATTCTTATAAACCATGGAGAATGCAACAAGATGAGTGGTAACAGCCAAAGTTCTAGATTTATCAGGGGCAGAGTCAGAAACTAAGGCATAAAAAACCATAAGCAAAGATGATATGATCAAACAGACTTGTCCTAAAACTACAGTAAAATTTCAATTTTGAAAGGACAAGCCCTTTAAATTCTTTTAGTTCATTAATTTCGGTGAATGTTGAACTTCGTTGTGTAATCAACACAAACACTAAGTTCTGGTTTGTAAAATTCTTTGTATTTGCCCTTGTGTTTTTGCTTCATTCCTTTTTTTTTCTTCGAGAAATGTTGCTTTCAATCTCTCTTTCTTGCATTATTCACTTATATAATGTCTTTAAATAAAGAGCAGAATGGAATGCATGGTAGTTTGTATAGCGGGATTAGCAATCTTTACAAACTTTACATGGTATCATTCCACCTGGAGCATGTAAAACAAATATGTGGTTAGTGTACTGCCTGTTGCTGTCTACGAACTGACCTCTTCATTGGAGAATTGGATACCTACAAACTCTGTACTATGTTTAGTAGAAGTTTATTCCAGCTTCTAAATTCTAAACTACGGCACAATATTTCCTCCTTTGCAGGTTTGGGTTTTCTACTTGGAATAATGTACTTGCAGTTAATCTCAGGGATAATGGTACTAGTATTGAACTTTTATAGGGTAATTGTAAATGGGTGTATAACTATGCTCCTGTGTCCCTTTGTTTAACGCTGGCCATGCATGTAACAATATAATTTAAAAAATGGAAATTATTAGAATCTGATTGCACTTAAAGTGAATCTAAATCCATAAGACGTATATATTGCAGCTTACCAGTCCTTAGATGTGGTGACCTGCATTTGTTTTTCTTTTTTACTGACTTCTTCTTTTCTCTTTTATATTTAGCTGGTGATCCTATCAGTTATACACTTCCTGTGCTAGGGTGACAATGTTCACTGAATGTACTGCATCTATGGAGCAGCAGTGTTGTCACCTTAGTCTACTTGCTACTTATTTGCACTACAGAAACCTACTCCCTCCTCATCTCCATAACATAAAGGGAGGTGTTCTGGAGTTTGTAGAAGAAGAGCTTACTGGATCCAGTCAAATTCCACCACAAGGATCTCTTCTTAGTGGAAAAACACAAATAGAAATCACTACTGCTAGGAGACTGGCCAGCAACCATATTCTCTCACAATTACCTGCTCTCCAGCTTTGCCAACCTGTATAACCAATGTGCATACAGAAGTAAGGTCTACTACTACTGTAGAGCATTGGGAGGCTTTAATCAAATCAGCAACTTACAACAGCGAGAAATCTTTATGCTAGGTTCATACTGGCCATCCCTATCATATTTTTGAAAAACGATCCACCATGGTCCAGGAGGTGATACTATTGCCTCCCGAATGTCTGTTTTTTTCTTTACTTTACACAGCCGAATGGATTTTACATTGAACTACCATGCCACAACCATTTGGTTCGCAGTTGTGAAGCAGTCCCTTTGACTTCATTGGGTGAGTTTGGCAAGCGACACTTTCCAAACTCTGCTAAGTTAAAAATTGCTGTATCCTAAGTCCAAAGATTCATGGTCACAGCAATGTGTACTCAACTGAGCGCCCAACATGTTGGAGATTAGTGATTGGAGGGTAGTAAAAAGGCTAAGCTAACTGTTTTTACCACCTGTGTGAATTAGGCCCCTCTCACAGGAACGGTCTGGGCGGTCTGTTTTTCAAGTGGACCTGACCGGACCCTGCATTGTCATGTATGGGTAGTCAGATATAATCAGACTTGTGTCTGTGTACACCAAGCTATCTCCAGTTCGATCTGACAAAAACAAATGGAAGGGGATCCATTCCCCGTTCGTCTGGTAGAATCAAATTGGAGGGAAGTTGGGTGTACTAGGACAGCTGGTCCGTTTACATCTGACTGCCCATGGAGGAGAGCAGGCCGCGTCTGTATCCACTCTGCATATGCAGAGGGAACACAGAACTGTCATCCGGCAGCTCCACTCAGTTCAGCAGGGGATCAGCAAATGGATCCCCTACTGAACAAAACTGGATGCAGCCTGTGTGAAAGGGGCCTAAGGCCTTAGAAAGCCAAAAGATGGATTGTTTGTTTACCATTACATTTCCAAACATCCAAAGTTTTGTTCCATTGAGCAAACAATAATTGTGCTGATTAAATGAATAGTGTCTGCTGCATAGACTAGCACCTGGCTTCAGGGAAACACATAGACAATTATGAACAAATCTGCTCACTTTTGTTTGGTGACCATGTAATTGGCAGCCATTCTTGTTCACTAAACACAACAGTCCAACACACATCTACACTTAGGGGTGGAATTACTAAAGGCAAATAGACTGTGTACTTTGTAAGTGCAGTTGTCCTCATTTCCCCCGGAGCTTAGTGAATGCGGGAAAGCTCTGCAAATTTCCATCTGATCAGATACCCAATCATGTGCAAGAAAAAAAAATGCTGTTTTTTTATTTTTCTTGTACCTGAAGCTTTACAACATTTGCTAAGCTATGGGGAAAATGAGAGCAACTGCACTTGCAAAGTGCACAGCCTAGTTGCCTTTAGAAAATCAACTCCTTAGCTTGGCAGTAATAGTAAATGATAATGTTGTCAAGCACAACTGCACCAAAAAATGCAAATAATACCAGTGCATAGCAATATAGAGCATATAATAGGCAGTATTTGAACAGTAAAATTTTAGGCTACTTGAGTGAAGGCATGCATCAAGGATAGTCTTATGAGTGTATGCATTTCTATTCTGTCTCCATATTTTCCTTTTGCTGGGCCCCTAGTCTTGCGTATATTATGGACTCGTGCTTCAGAATGGAATGCTTAGTGCTCCCAGATATAAATACATGTTCCGGTGCATACTTTAAAGCTCAGGACCAACTTTTAAATAGAGAATGTGGAGCCCAGTGAGGCTCCATTCACATCTAGGCATTTTGTAAGGCGGGTAGAATTGCCACAATTCTGCCCGCGATACCAAAACGCTCTGAAAAACTGACAAATCACTCCATACTTGTTCAGGTGGCATTCATTTTCAATGGCGCCTAAAGCATGGTGCAATTCTGCCGAATTATCATTGCGATAAATTGTGCTGTAATTGTGCAAACCACATTGCGTGAAGCTTCTTGCCCCAAAAGAAGCTCCTGCTCCTTTTTGGGTGACAGCTTTGCGCAATGCAGTTTGCTGAGATTGCACCGCCATTTATCACTTGACAATTGCAGCAGAATTGTAAATGTGTATAGGTGCCATTGAATATGAATGGTGCCTGAACAAGCATGGTGCGATTTGTAAGTTTTGCAGAATGTTTTGGGATCGCAGGCAGAATGCAAAAACAAACACAAATGTGAACGGAACCTTAGCAAATGTAGTATACCACAATTGTTTTTCTTTTAAATCAAAGAAAAATCAATCCAAATAAGGAAACTTAAGCCAAACTATGGTGAATGACAGATAGGTTTGAGCAGATGCTCATAGTTTTAAATGTGTGACAACCACAAGGAAAAAATCATTGTGATGTCCCTAGCATTCACAGTACGTCAATATTTAAGCAACCTACAAACCCTTTTCATCCTCCAAAAACTAATAAGACCTTTTTTTTATAAGAACGCTGTTTTATGTTGTCCTTTTTAAAATTCATACACACACCTAAGGTATTTATATAATGAAATAAATGAGAGACAGTTAAGAGGGGTTGAACATGCCCATTTAAGAGGGTCCCACTTGATTGAGCTACACAACCCCCGCCCTAACATTTGAGCATTTTTAATCCTCGAGGGACTGGTCCCACTGTGTGTACGTGTGCTCGCATGTTTTTTGAATGTGGTGTAAAGAGCCGCATTATCTCTTCTGAGATCTTCTAACTGCATCGCATGCCAAAACTGACGTGAGGCTTGGATGGATGCCTGCACCTATCAGAAATCGACAAGTTCAGGGTCGCTTACATGGGACGGCACGTTAAAGAATGGGCACTTCTTTATGAATGATATTGATATGGGATTGCATTCTACATGTACCCTTTAAAGTGGTCGTAAACCCCTACATATACCCAGACGTGACTGGCCTCAGGTGATACACAGAGATGAAACAAATCCTCCTACATTGGTTGTACTTTTTTTTATCTGCAGCCCTCTGCCTTCTAAATCAGTTCAAAGTCCAGAATGTATACAGCTAATCTGAGATTCCAGAGAGCAGGAGGTGGGCAGCTGAAGTTACACACCGCAAAGCTCAGTGAGAGATGATTGGAGGAAAGGGACACCCCCTTGCTGAGGCTGTCAGTAACAGGCTGTACTACTTGTGGGGGGGGGGGGGGGGTGATGGAGATTTTTTTTTTTTTTTTACACTGATGGCTTTTACACCCATAAAGGCTGTAAAAGCAATTATTTCTCCTCTCCGGCTGCAATCTTGCAGCCATTGACAAATACTGTGAGAGCTGTGATTGGTCACAGCTTGCCACATGGTATAAGGCTGTTGTGAATAGCCTTGTACCATCTGACCTCTGTGATAATTCATAGATTTCACTAGTAGTAAGCAATGATGTCAGGAAGTGACATCTTGCTTACTACTATTCATGTGATCACTGATTGGCCAATCAGTGATCACATGATCGGGGCCTCACACAGAGGTCCCGTACAGCGATTGGTGTTCCAGGGAGCGCGCACAGGCAGGGAATATGGAGGCCGTTTATAAACAGCCACCTGCTCCTGCACTGTACCCGTCTGGCCGTTTATGTACATGGGCCAGACGGGAAGTGGTTAAAAAAGGCCTGGATTCTTTCCTAGATACACAGAATATAACTGGATACTTACATTTATAGGTATAGTTGATCCAGGGAATATCTGATTCCCTCTCAGGGGATCAGGAATGAATTTTTTTCCCTGCAGGGGCAAATTTGATCATGCTTTGCTGGGTTTTTTGCCTTCTTCTGGATCAACTGTGGGTATAGGATTGTAACTTTTTTTTTAATGGTTTAACTGGATGGACTTTTGTCTTTTTTCAGCCAGACTAACTATTTAACTATGTACAGGGGCGGACTGACAACTCATGGGGCCCCCGGGCAATAGGGGATCATGGGGCCCCTGTGTCCTTGCCCAAACTCAAAAAAGCCTATGAAAAAGGTACCAGGGGCATCTCATGGGGCCCCATACTGACCCCGGGACCTCGGACAGTGCCTGAGTTTCCAAATGGTCAGTCCGCCCCTGACTATGTAATTATGTAATACATATTTAAATGTAATTTTAATGCAAGTAGTCTAAGTACCTGATTTTACTTGGCATCAGCCTAATACAGTCCCTGAACCACAGGGCTTGAGTGTGAGAGGAAAAAGCAGCACAAGGAGCATGCTGATAGAAAGAAAGCAGAGTGATGGAGAGATGAGCTCATCATTGTGATGCTTCTAGTTTCACTCTCCATTCACAAGCTGGAATGGTTCCAAGATGACCTGGGCTCAGAAGTAAGTGGCTTGAATGATGCTAGTCACCAGACTGACATTCGGTGGCAGAAAAATTTATTGCAGGGTAATATTACAGCAAAAGTTGAATTTGTTTTTTTTTTAACCTTTAACTGCCTCCCGCTCGCCATATAAGAAAATAATGGAAGTACGGTGGTTCTCTCGTTCTGGGAGGATGTCATATGACGTCCTCCCTCTCTAACCGCATGTGCGCGTCCCCGGGCGCACGCAGCGTGGCGATCGGTGGTGCGCTGTGTCCCTGGAACACAGCAGATCACTGATCAGTAGAAAGAGCAGATGACTTCGGCTCTGTCATGTGATCAGCTGTGTCCAATCACAGCTGATCGCATGTAAATAAGGAAATGCTGGTTATCGGCATTTCTCTCCTCATAAGCTGTCACGCTCGAGAGATGAGGAGAGCCGATAATCGGCATTCCTCAGAGGGGACATCTACACTAATCATCAGGGCACTAATAATTAGTGCCCTGAAGATCAGTGTAGCCCCATCAGTGCCACCTGTCAGTGTCCATCAATGCCACCTGTCATTGCCCATCAATGCCATATGTTAGTGCCGATCAGTGCACATCAATGCCACATATCAGTGCCTACAAGTGCACATCAATGTCACATATCAGTGCCTACAAGTGCACATCAATGCCACATATCAGTGCCTACAAGTGCACATCAATGTCACATATCAGTGCCCACCTGAGCTGCCTTTCAGTGCCAACCATCAGTGCCACCAATCAGTGCCAGTGTGTGCTGCTTATGAGTGCTGCCAATCAATGTCACCTATCAGTGCCAGTCAGTGCCGCCTATCAGTGCCAGTCATTGCCGCCTATCAGTGCCCATCAGTGCCGCCTATCAGTGCCCGTCAGTGCAACCTAACAGTTCCAGTCAGTACCACCTATCAGTGTCAGTCAGTGCCACCTATCAGTGCCAGTCAGTGCTGCCTATCAGTGCCATATATGAATATTGCCTTTCAGTGCCCATCAGTGATGTGTGTGAATGCCAACCAGTGATACCTGTCAATGCCCATCAGTGCCACCTACCAGTGCCTCCTCATCAGTGCTGCCTGTCACGACCCGGGGCCGCCGCCACCAACAGGCGACAATCGCACAGCCGCGACTAACAGTAATACGTCACGCCCGCGGCGTCAGACCCCAGACCTTCTCACCAAACTCGTGACCGAAGGGCCGGCCGATCCAAAACCGCGCTGTGACGCGCGTAACAAGGTCCCACCCAGCTGCACCCTACACAGCCCAGCTAATGGACTACAATCGGTGCCTGCAGCCTGAATGCGCTTGTTACTGGGTCGGGTTAGTTACGCAACTAACCCTCTACTGCCACCACCACTTTTGTCGGAGACTGGGAAACTCCCGTTTTCAAATATACACTATAATGATTGAACACAGTAGCGTCTCTTCAAAGGCTGGGATTCGTGAATTGCAAGTAAGCGCTTAGAAACAGTTTAACACTTTCAGAAACAAAGATTTATTACTAAAAGCGTTGGATGCAAATACATATTTACAAAGAGATATCACAAAAATATATATATATGTATATAAAGACACAGCAAACATAGAATAGCGAGGAAATTACAGGGTAAGTTACTTGCCTTGCCTGGTTTTAGCAAATTCAAGATGCAGAGCAGAAAGGTTCTTTGATCTCCTCTGTTACGATGTTACCTCGGAGATCTCTGTGTGTGTGTGTCTCTCAGACTAACTCACTTAACTCTCTTAAAGGTCAATCTCAGGGGAAGGGAGGGGGGCTCTGACTTGGGAGTGGTCATTGGGAAACTCTACACTAAATTACTAGCTTCATATCCCGTGATATGAACCACACAGTTGACCTGAGGACTGTGCACTTATTCTGGTCGGTTTGATAATGAGTGGGCTTACATAGTTTTGGGTGATAAAAGTGACACCTCCGCAGACTGGCTGGCTCCACTTCTCATGTCTTCCTGGTTGTTCCACACCATTTGCCAGGAGATAAAGTTTGCCTCTCATGAAGGGAGGAGGGTAGGAATGAGGCTGAGGAATGCCTCAAATAAACAGACAGAACACGAAAAAGAGGGTTGAGGGGGAACTCCGCTCCAATTCTGATGAGCAAGTTTGCCACACTGCCCATCAGTGCCCATCAGTGCTGCCTATCAGTGCCCATCAGTGCAGACTATCAGTGCAGCCTCATTAGCGCACATCAGTGAAGGAGAAAAATTACTCATTTACAACATTTTATAACAGAAACTAAGAAAAAAACTTTTTCCCCAAAATTTTCAGTAGTTTTTGGTTTGTTTATCTAAAAATAAAAAACCCAATGGTGATTAAATAGCACCAAAAGAAAGCTCTATCTGTCTTAAAAAAATGATAAAAATGTCATAAGGGTACAATGTTGCATGACCGCGCAATTGTCATTCAAAGTGCGACAGTGCTGAAAGCTGAAAATTGGCCTGGGCAGGAAGGGGGTGAAACTGCCCGGTAGGCAGGTGGTTAATGGGTTACTCAATTTCATCTTGTTATTTTTACATAGAGTTGCCACTGTGATAGTAAGCAATGAGAAATCTCTCTAACCAAGCCCTGAATAGCAATATAAAGCTGACATGTCTATCTCCTCTTTACTCTATCCAAAATTAAACATTTTGTCTTGACATACCCTTTAATGTACTTTTTTACAAATGAAAATCTGTCCTGCAAAGAACAAACGCTGCCATTCCTTTCCTCCTCCTTGGCCTCCATGTGTACCCGATGGACTCTCAGTTCCTCCTGTTTGGGTCATTTTGAATTTTCCATTCAAAATGAAATGCCTGCAGCATAAATAGGCCTTTTTTTTAGACCGTCATTGTTTTCAGAATGTGTTTTATTTACAGACAGCAGACCAAGAAATCTGCTTGTCTTCTGACAGCTATTACAGCTGCTGCTCCGCCTGCCCTTTCCTAATACTGGCTAACCTTTGCAAACACACATAAAAAGCTTAACTATGGAAACTGAGCTTCCTGTTACAAACAATTGTGGATTAGAGACCAAGAGAATGCAATATACAAAACAACTCCTCCAAGCCACAGGAAGTAGCCATTTAGAATGTTATTATTTTCTAATTAGCTGGGCCTTCAAAACTGTGAAAACTCCATGTGCCCACATAAAACTATAAAAACAGCAAACTATATAAACAGCAAAATCCACAGAACGTTTACAAATTCGCTAAAGGGAAATGCGTATATTCAGTGTATTTGTTTTTAAAGACAATTTAAATAGAATTAAAAACTATATTGATGAAATGAAACGGCAGGACATTGTTATCATAAAATAATTAAATTATGTAAACTGAGCAAACTGTTGGCGCTATATAAATCCTGTATAATAATAATAATAATAATAAAAAAATAACAACATAATGATGATGACTATGGGCCTGCAAAACAGGAGGACAAGTTACAGTTGCATAAAGCAATTTAACCTCTTCGTGCTGGCGCCTCCCGGGGCTTTAAGAGTTTCAGGAGCCAGGAGGCGGGTTGGGGTTTTAGGGTCATGTGACCGCCGTGATTCGCTGTCATGGCGGTCACATGATTGGAAAAGGTCCCAATCAAAAAAGGAAATTGGGACCTTTCTGTGAGTCGCAGACATATGTGCTAGGAGCACGCTCTCAGCACATATGTACTTTCTAATTGAACGCAAATATGCACCCGCTCAGCGTCAAGGCCCAGACGCCGAGAGGCCACATATTTGCGTGCGATCAGCATCAAGGGGTTAAAGTACAACTCCAGCCCATTTTTTTTTTAATTTAAATTTTTATTGCATTTCTATAGCCACTACATGGATTGACCCTCACTTTCTGTGCTGTCACAGTGATAGGAAGTCTCTCCAATAGAGAAACATACAGTAATAAAAGCATTTTTAACCACTTGCCCTCCAGAGGATTTACCCTCCTTCCTGACCAGGCCATTTTTGTGCCATACAATGCTGCGTTACTTTAACTGACAATTGCGCAGTCATGCAACGCTGTACATAAATTCAATTTATGTCCTTTTTTTTCCCACAAATAGAGCTTTCTTTTGGTGGTATTTGATCACCTCTGCGGTTTTTATTTTTTGTGCTATAAACAAAAAAAGACCGGCAATTTTGATTAAAAAAAAACAATATTTTTGGCTTTTTGCTCTAAAACATATAAAGAAAATTAAAACATC